CTCTCGCTATCTCTCTCTCGCATGCTGTCTCTCTCGCTCTCTCTCTCTGTTGCTCTGTCTCTCTGTCGTGCCCTTGCTCTCTCACTGTCGTGCCCTTCTTCTCTCTGTTGTGTGCTCTCTCTCCCTCTCTCACTGTCGTGCGTTCTCTCTCTGTCACTCTCTTTCTGTTGCTCTCTCTCTGTTTCTCTCTCTCTATTTCTGTCAAGTCCTCTCTCTCTGTCTCTCTGTCATGCGCGCTCTCTCTCTGTCATGCTCTCTCTATCTCACTGTCTGTCGTGCACATGCTCTCTCTCTGTCATGCACTCTCCCTGTCTCTTTTGCATGCTCTCTCTCTCAGTCACGCAGTCACTCTCGCTCTCTCTCTGTCGCGCGCTCTCGCTATCTCTCTCTCGCACGCTGTCTCTCTCGCTCTCTCTCTCTGTCGCTCTCTCTCTGTCAGGCCCTCTCTCTCTCTGTCGCACCCACTCTCCCTCTCTGCTGCGCCCTCTCTCTGTCTCTGTTACATCCTTTGTCTCACTCTGTCACGCTCTCTATCTTGCTCTCTATTGCACACTCTCTCTCTTGGTCTTTCTCTCTCTATCGTGCTGTCTCTCTCTCTGTCATTCTCTCTGTCTTGCGCTCTATCGCTGTCACTCTCTCTGTCGCACGCTGTCTCTCTCACTCTCTGTCTCTATCTGTGTCTTGCCCTCTCTCTCTCTCAATCTCCCTGTTGTGTGCTCTCTCTCACTCTCTCTGTTGCACTCTCGCTACCTGTCACTCTTTCTGTCTTGCGCTCTCTCTCTCACCCTCTCTGTCGCGCTCTCTCACTCTCTCTGTCTCTCTCTATCTGTGTCTCGCCCTCTCTCTCTCTCTCTGTCGCTCTCTCTGTCTCGCTCTCTGTCACGCGCTTGCTCTCTCTCGCTCTCTGTCAAGTGCTCACTCTCTATCTCTTTGTTGCATGATCTCTCTCCCTCTCTTTCGGTCACGTGCTCTTGCTCTCTTTCTCTCTTTGTCGCACACTCTCGCTATCTCTCTCTCGCATGCTGTCTCTCTCGCTCTCTCTCTCACTGTCGCGCCTTTCCTCTCTCTGTTGCATGCTCTCCCTCGCTCTCCCCCTGTCGTGTGGTCTCTCTCTGTCACTCTCTTTCTGTTGCTCTCTCTCTCTCGCTCTGTTTCTCTCTCTCTTTCTGTCACATCCTCTCTCTCTGTCTCTCTGTCACGCGTGCTCTCTCTCTGTCATGCTCTCTATATCTCATTCTCTGTCGCGCAAGTGGTCTCTCTCTTTCATGCGGTCTCCCTGTCTCTTTTGCATGCTCTATCTTGCACTCTCTGTCGCGCGCTCACTCTCACTCTCTCTCTGTTGCGCGCTCTCTCTTTTTGTCACACCCTTTCTCTCGCTCTGTCGCGCTCACTATCTCACTCTCTGTTGCACACTCTCTCTCTTGCTCTTTCTCTCTCTGTCGTGCTCTCTCTCTTTCATGCTCTCTGTCTCTCGGTCTTTCTCTCTCACTCTTTCTCTCTCTGTCACACGTTGTCTCTGTCGCACACTCTGTCTGTCATGCACTCTCTCTCTCTGTCGCTCTCTCTCGTTGTCGCACACTCTGCCTCTGTCATGCACTCTGTCTCAGTCTCTCTTTATCACGCACTCTCTCTCGCTCTTTCTCTGTCGCGCTGTCTCTATCTCGCTCTCTGTCATGTGCTGTCTCTCCCTGTCACGCTCTCTCTATCTCACTGTTTGTTCTGCGCTCTCCCTCGCTTTTTCTCTCTCTGTCATGCACTGTCTCTCGCTCTTTCTCTCTCTGTCGTGCCCTCTATCCCTGTCCCTCTCTCTCTGTGTCGCGCACTCTCTCTCTCTGTTGTGCACTCTCTCTCGCTCTCTCTCTGTCGCATTTTCTCTATCTCACTCCCCGTCGTGCTCCCTCTCTCGCTCTTTCTCTGTCACGTGCTCTCTCTCTCTCTGTTGCACGCTCACTCTCACTCTGTCTCACTCTCTGTTGCGCAATCTCCCTCTCTCTTTCTGTCACGTGCTCTTGCTCTCTCTTTCTGCCATGCACTCTCACTCTCTCTTTCTATCTTGTGCTCTCCCTCTCTCTGTCGCACACTCTCGCTGTCTCTTTCTCTCTCTCTATATCTGTCTCGCCCTCTCTATCTCCCTCTCTCTGTCGCGCACTCTCTCTCTCTGTCGCGCTCTCTCTCTTTGTGCTCTCTCTCTCGCTCTCTCTGTCACCCGCTCACTCTGTCTTGCACTCCGTCGCGCATGCTCTGTGTCTCTCGCTCGCGCGCTCACTCTCTCTGTCATGCGCTGTCTCTCTGTCTGTCACACGCTCTCTCTCGCTCTTTATCTTTGTCGCACGCGCTCTCTCTCTTGTGCGCTGTCTATCTCTCTGTCGTGCGCTCTCTCTGTCACGTGCTCTCTCTCTTTGTTGCTCGCTCTCCCTCGCTCTCTCTCTCTGTTGCATGATCTCTCTCTTTCTCCCTTTCTGTCACGTGCTCTCGCTCTCTCTCTTTCTATCTCATGCTCTCTCTGTCATGCAGCCTCGCTCTCTCCCTCTATCTATCTATGTCTGCCTCCCCTCTCTCTCTCACTTTCTCTGTCATGTGCTCTCTCTCTCACTCGCTCTGTGTCACGTGCTCTCTCTCTCTGTTGCACGCTCACTCTTGCTCTGTCTCTCTCTGTTGCGTGATCTCTCTCTCTCTTTCTGCCATGTGCTCTCGCTCTCTCTTTCTATCTTATGCTCTCTCTCTCTGTCGTGCACTCTCGCTCTCTCTTTCTCTCTCTCTATCTCTGTCTCACCCTCTCTCTCTCACTCTCTCTGTCGCGCATTCTCTCTCTCACTCTTTCTGTCACACTCTCTCTCTTTGTGCTCTCTCTCTCTCACTCTGTCTGTCGCCTGCTCACTCTGTCATGCATGCTCTGTGTCTCTCGCTCGCGCACTCACTCTCTCTGTCGTGCGCTGTCTCTCTCTCTGTCGTGCCCTCTCTCTGTCACATGCTCTCTCTCTCTCTGTTGCATGATCTCTCTCTCTCTCCCTTTCTGTCACATGCTCTCACTCTCTCTCTCTTTCTATCTCGTGCTCTCTCTCTCTGTCGTGCAG